CAAGGTGAGCACTAACACTGGGGTGCAGCAATGATGAGCAGACTACATGAATATATGCTATAATGATTCAATGATTCCAAATAGCATAATAAACTTACCTGTCCATCTCGTAGGATTATTTTAGCATTAACAATGCAACATTTATGAGCAGGTAAAATGCATATGAATATGCCATGACAATATATAATTCTCAACCACAAAACATCGTTTTTAAAATTAAATAAATCAAGACATGTAAGCATAAATCAATTTAAAAGCATTTGTGGAAACTATAAAGTTTATATACATATTTACGGAAAAAAAAATGCCCACTCACTGATATGTAGATGGATCGTAGCACCCTAGCCTTGCTTGTCCTCATACGTCCTTAAGAAAAGTCTCCCCTATATGTGAAACAACCAATAATAATTACTTAATTAACACATATACGAAAAAGCTAGGAAAAACTCCCCATAGCTTGGTCAAACGGAAGGTTTGAATAGATGAAAATGTTTTACTTGAAGTCATGGACCCACACATGTCAACCACTTGCCAACCGGAGGCTGGACGCACCTTCATGTGCTACCCAACCCATGGCCACATGCGCGGCTACACACAGGCACGCACCTGGCAAAGACTGATAGAAGATAGGGAATATTTTGTCAAAGTTCGTGCAATATTATGTTAAATAGTAACAGAACCCAATGCCGTTAGAATATTTCGTCAATTTTGACACAATATTCTTTGCCTTTTCTTCGTCTTCTCCGATGATCCTCGCCGTCCGCCGCCGCCGCCGTCTAGTTTCGCCTGATTCTGGAAAATTTTCAAACTCATATAACTTTTTCATTTCTCAACCATTTTTGACCAACTTTATATGGAAATGAAGCTCTTGAGGAGAAGAAAAATGGTTGAAAAATGGCCTGAAAAAGCCTCACAAGTCTTGCCCTAAAGGTCGACTCCTTGAAACCATGCTTCTTGATGTTGTCTGCACTCCATACTTAGCCTAGGGACTCCAGGGAGTCGTGTGGATGCTCCCACAACCTTCAAAACATCATAACTCGGCCGGGATCACATTGGAGCAAACTGGTCCGAGTCGGAGCTTCCGAGTTGGCAAGTCTTAGGTTCGTGAGGATCAGAGGATCATGATAGTGATATTTTTAAGTTGGATCTGTGAGTGTTTGATGAAGCTCCTTGCAGTTCTAGAGGAGAGGGAGGTACGGGTGAGAGAGAGAGAGAGAGAAAATGAGAAAGAGAAACTGACAGCTTTTCTGATTGGTGGAAAAGTGAGGGAAATTGTCTGGTTAGGTGAGAGAATTGGGGAGTGAAAATTAATTGGTGAGGGAAATGGGTACACGGGACTAGTTTTAAAAAGGAAAAGAGATAAGGTTTTTTAAATTTTGGCACAGTAAGTCGTACACAAAAATCCGCCTCCTTATCAAAAAATATGTTTCCAAAACTGATAAATTAACACACACATGTACCACTCCACCTGTTGTTAACAAACTATAATGTAATGTAACTTTTTCGTTACATATCCGATTTGGGTTAATTCACGCTCATGTGATCGTAATAACAAGTACTATTTAATTATGATTACAAGAAAAATAATTTAAAGTTGCATAAACATGTCCACATCACTTTACCAACAAAGGCATAAATGTCAATTTACACACTATGTGAAATTACATAGAAAATTAGGGTCGGGTCGTCATAGAACCATATATATTATTCTTTCATTTTTTTTTTCCATTTCAACTCCATCCCCATTTCCCTTGTAGAAGATCGATTTAATTATCTAAGAAGCTGTTATTCAGTTGAAGGATTCGAACCTCATTTATCAAATATCAAAAGGTATATAAAGCCAGCCGGGATACACCTTACGATTTACAAAAATACAAAAAAAAAAAAAAAACAAAACAAAAAAAAGGGCTAGCTAATCAGTAACTCCAAAGTAGTAAAGCTTTGGGTAATGATAGAATTGAGTAATGATAGAATTCATTAGAGTTTGTCCTTGATGTAAACAAGAATTCATTGAGCAGCTACGGGTAATGATAGAATTGAGTAAATCTTTCTCCGTATCTACAGTAAGACAACCTCGGTTGACAAGTGAGACCATGTAGTTCATGAAAAATGAATCACATGGCATTGTGATAGGCTCACTACTTGAGAGTCCAAACTCTTCCTTAGATATCTTGAGAAGCTCTTGAAAAATGTGGTTAGACAGATAGGATAACGGCAGCACAAAACGCCTCTTGTCAATGGTATATACCACGAAATTTCCTTTTTCACTCACCATATTTGATGTTGTACTTTTGACTACATTGTTCCTACCTTCTCTCGGGTATGCAATTGCTTTCCACTCCATAAAAGCTCTCTTCTCCCACTTCATAGCATACTTAATGAGCTTCTTGGGGCTAAGCACCATAGAGTCCATGGTAAACGAAGATACGACCTTGAGAAAAAAGAAGAGAAAAAGTACTTCGAAATATTTTCCAGAATGCAGAATTACTAGTTCTGTTGGTTTGAGAGCTACGGTGGTGTTTCCTTCCTTTATATATTTTCACTTGACACCTTAGACGAACTTTTAATATTCGTAGTTTTCTTAGGGGTGTAATTTTCGATGTAGAGTTGCATGTGATTAGTTATATTGGACTAGATGTTAAGTTCTGTCCTTGCTAACTATTTTTTGGTCAAGAAGATACTTGGTTAAAATACTGTTAGTGGAGAAAATTATATAGTATTCCCTGGTGGAGAAAGTTCCGATGTGCAGCAACTATACGCATCTTTGGATATTACTATGAATCATATTACGTTATATCTAGTTGAGTAAAGACACATCTCTTGGCAGTCGGTTATTTCTATGATTTAGTTATTTCGGCACAAAATTCTTGATTTCCAAAGTACTCTTTTGATTTTTCGATAATGTTATTCAATTGTACCTTTGCTAGTTGGAAATCCGGAGAATGATAATACCAACGACTTAGCGTCCTCCACTCTTATCAAAAAAGATTATTTCATATTTATTTATTTAGTTTATTAGGAGAAAACTAAGGTCCTGTTTTATAGGGAATAGAAACTGTAGAATTATTTTAATTCTTGAGTTTTACTATATTATGGGTAAATGAATCATTTCATTCCGTAACTTTCTTTTGCACTTACTTGCAAAGTCAGGAATTGAAAAAGTGCAAGTCTATCCTTAAAATCCATAACCAAATACATAAAAATCAAGAATTAGATTGAGTAGGGGACGAGTTGATTTGATTCCCTTTCCTTCTCTTATTTTATTAAGCTTTCCGATTCATTCTATTTCCCATTTCTATTAAGTAATCATCTCACATGTCAAGATTTCAAAGTCGGGCATGTGGTTAACTACTGATCGAGGTGATATGTGTCCCAACTTAATCACTTTTATTAGGTTTTATAACAAAGACTTTTAGTGTTAATAGTTAGAACCATTCATTTATAGGTCGTAATAAATATTAAAAAAATGGGGTTGTTAAACTTTAATCCTAGAATAAGAATAAAATGTAATAAAAACCTGATGTTAGATTGGATATTAATTTTAGTCCTTCAATGTGTACTTAATTCAAATTCATATTCTATTTTCTTTTAATATTTAATAGATATCTTATTTAATGTCATTACATTAAATTTTAAATTTATTATTATACACATTTTAATTCATTAATTTTATTTAACTTCTTCTAATTAGTGTACCTAAACATCCATATCATAATATATTTTACTAAATTAGTGTACCGAAATGTCTGTACTTAAATATATTGTAGTACCTAAATACATTGTAGTGAATTAGTGGCACATAGGAAAATATGCAAAAACATAAGTGTACCAAAAATTCCATACCTAAATATATGATACTAAACTAGTGTACTGAAATGTCCGTACCTAAATATATTATACTAAACTAGTGTACTGAAATGTTCGTACCTAAACATATTATCTAAACTAGTGTACCAAAATGTTCGTACCTAAATATATTATAATGAATTAGTACAACATAAGACAATATGCAAAAATATAAATGTACCGAAAAATCTCTACGAAAATATTTTCTTACATAAGATACTTACTATAATGAGAATTAAAATTTATAATATAATCTTAAAATTTTATCTATGAACACCATAAAATTATAAATAAAAAAAGAGACATTAAATACATATCCTGACATTAAATAGAGTCTAGGGACTAAAATCAATTTTTAATCTTGTATAAGACATTTTTCTAAACTTCATCTTATTTAAGGATTAAAATCTAGTTTTCTATAAAAAAAAAAAATACAAAGGTTAGGAACCATTCATTTATAACTATCAAGTTTAAAATAAATAGAAAACTTCATTTTAATCATTGGCAAAAATGACTTTTAAATTAAAATTAAGAGTAAGATCAAAATCTAATTTTAGTCCCTTGATACATTAATAACCTCATTTATTAATTATATTTTGATTTTTTTAAAATAAATTGAGATTGCATTCTTCAAGAACAAACCATATATATGTAATGTTTCCTTTTTGCGCCACAACTTCTGAGCTATGCTACTGGAAAAACAAATTAGTTAAATAGATATTGTTGCGCCACAACTTCTGAACTATAGAACTTAAAAATAATAATTAAAGTTGAGAAGCATCGCAGGGCCATCCTGGTTAGTTATGTCTTTGTGTGTCCTAGTAATTAACCAACTGATACGACCTGCTTGGAATCTATATAGTAACAAACTGATAAGATGTCGATCTGTCCTTAAACCACAAGACATAAATATTGCATAGTTTCAAACAGCATCCAATAACAGTAATCAAGTAAGTATTGCATTGTTCTACATCGAAAATCACTACACCCAAAATAGTGCAAAATTAATGGATTGTCTGAAGTGCCTAAAAATATATATATAAGGGAAACCAATACCGTTGCTTTCCATCCATCTGCACAGTACGAAGTAACAACATTTACCATTCAAGCTTGAAAAATATTTCAAGAATCTCTAGCTCATATCTCATATCATCATGGACATGATCGTTATGAGTCCCAAGAGACTAATGAGAATGGCTAGGAAATTGCAGAAGACAGCTGATATGGGGAGGAAGAAAATTTCAAACCCAAGAGTAGTTGGTAACAACTCCAATAATACAGACTGCAACTCGAAGGGCGAAAAGGGTACTTTTGTCATCTACACTGTTGATAAGAAGCGTTACGTGCTACCATTATCTTATTTGCACAACTGCATTTTCCAAAAGCTTTTTAAGCTGTCCGAAGAAGAATTTGGACTCACAAGTAGTCGGCCTATCATCGTGCCATGTGACTCGTTCTTCATGAATTACGTAGTCTCACTCTTCCAACGTGGAATAACTACGGATTTGGAGAAAGCTTTACTGATCAACCCTACCATTAGTAGTAGCTGCTTCATTGGTTCTACTAACTTACATCAAGGCAAAACAGGACAACAATTACTCCTTTCCGGTTACTGATCACCTTATTTCTTTGTATTTTTGTAAATAATCTCTGTCTGGCCTCCTTGCGTATACAATTCATATACTGTGTTGCATTTTGAAAACTGAGAAAAAAGGATTTTCCTTATATTGTTGCCCCTCTAATGTTATGTTCCATCATAATTAACTAGTGTTGAAAACCACCATATTGATCACCATGTAGTTCTTATATTTGATAGTGGATCCTAATTTCTGTTCCTACGCGGCCTGAGTTTATTTGTTATTCCTCCAATTATATAGGCGGAATTGGAGGAACCCTAATCATTATACTAAGGGTGTCCCTGCTTTTACAAAATACACGTTCCATTCTGAGCAAACCCTATTATTGCTGGAACACTTTCGCCTATTGAAAGTAGAAGACTCGTTTGTCCTCCACAAGAGCCGTGTCTTGTGTTTTCCAAAGATAAGTCAATTGTAATTGATTTATTGTAATTTTGGTTTATCAAATCCATTATCCTTATGTCTTGTTGTTCTTATGATTTCATAAATATCTTATGGTTCAATCCATGTGCTTTTTATTTACCATAAAACAAAAATTAAAGAATGCTAACAATATTTTCATTTGAACACTTTCGGGTGTAATTCTGATGCGTGAATTATACGCACACAAATTAAACCCTCTTTTTGACAATTGTAGTATAAGTATAAGTAGGGATCGTTCTGGACCGGGGATTAGGAGGGATTGTTAATCACTTGGATTTGACTCAAAAACGCAAAAACACAATATAAAACACTATACTAGACTCAAAGAATGCAAAACTAAACTTTAAAACACTAAGACAAACCAAAGACTCAAAATGCTTTAAAAACACAAACTAAATTGATTTCTAACTAAATTGAACAATAAAGTAAAGGGGGATTGAGTTTTGGACGAAATTAAACTAAAATGGATAGATTGCAAAGAAAACAAATTGTAAATACGATTTTGACGGAAATGAATGGATGGGATGGCTAGCTAAGGGGTTCATCTCCATACATGTTATACTTGCATGTAAAACGAATCTAATTGCTTTTCAATAAACCATGAATTCTCAACGCCCCGGGTTAATTAGGTCCGCTTAAATTAACCGTCAAGTTTTCCTTAAGTTAATGAATTGGATGATTGCATACGACAACCCAAAGCATTCCTCACAAGTTCCCTACATGAATTGCATAATAGAGATACAAGCAAGAATCATTAAGCAACATGAAAACTATAAGTGTTGACGAGGCATTTGTTACTATGATTGCATGAAACTTATGCCAAGAATATGTTTAACGCAATTGTTTATAAGCAACCTCCACTACTTGTGAATATAAGTTCATAACTATTACGTGAAACTCACTTATATTCTAGCGTCAAATTCATGCATGAAAATTAAGCGTGAACTCTCAATAAACATACATAAATAGGTTATCAATCAAATAGTTAAACAAATCGAATTCACAACTTATGAAACGTAATTAGAAGTAATCAAATCATATTGCAAGCATAAACATATATTTCGAATCCCCCCCTAGCCAAGGGGGGTTTAGTTCCTCATACGTACAAAACAAAGAGAATTGAAATTAAACATTGAAATCAAAGAAACGCCTAAACATTCCAACAACTCAAACTTGAATTGTATGAACGTTTAGGCCCTCTTCTCTTCCTCTTTGTTGTAGCATAAGGTCTAAGGATAGTTTGATGGTGTGGATGGTTTGGGGAGTGGTGGAAATGGAAGCAATGGAGGAGAAGTGGAAGGGGGACTCACGGTTTTGGATTCTAAGGGGAAGTGTTTGTGTTAGTTGTGGTGTGAGAAATGGAGAGATGGAATGGGGAGTGAATGAATGACAAATGAATGAAGTGTGTGTGGTTTATATAGGGAGAGAATGGGTGAGAATGTGGCTGCAATGCATGTGAAAAACAGCTAGGAAAGTGGGTGGAAAGCTGGAATTGCACAAGGGGAATGCTGGAAAGTGCAAGGGAACCCACGGCAATGCTTGTTTTGGTGCATGTGTTGGCTGTTTTGTTTGTTGGGAAAGCATGTGTTTGCATGTGAATGTTGTTTGTGTGAAGTGTGTGTGAATTCATGTGAAATGTAAAGGGAAAAGCTGGAAATGCTAGGAATGAAGGCCACGGCAAAGGGTGAAGTTTTTGATGATTTAAAATGTGGATGCATGATGAAGAGTTAATAAATAATGCATGTAGGGTTAGGAAATAAAATCATAACTTAAATGGGGGATGATTAAAGGGTGTGGCTAGGTTGGAAAGGTGTGGAAGATGGATGGAATTAGGGGGAATGCACGGCTTTGGGGAAAGAATGTGTGGATGTGCAAATGTGTTTTAATTAATGAAAGAATAAAGGGTGCATGTGTTGATGAAATTGCATTTGGAAAGGTTGGAAAGTGGAAGGGAAAGGCACGGCAACAAGGAAGTGTTTGGAGAATGAATGCAATGATGAAGAGTGAATAAAGAATGCATGTAGGGTTAGCTAGGTTGGCTTTGTTTGTGTGCATGTGTGTTAATGGTGGTTTTGCATGTGAATTGATGGATTGTTTTTGATGGAATGGATGGTTTTTTGCATGGCTATAAGGGAGAGAATAAGAGAGAATGGGCTAGGCCCTTTGTTGTATGTCCTAAAGTGCATAAATGGCCTTCAATTTCGTCCATCCTCTTTGCTCCATGGATAAGCTATCCAATCCATGCCCAAAAATGCTCCAAATAGCCTCAAAATGCACTTTCTTGCTCCCTAAGCCCTTAGAACCTGAAAACACACAAAAGAAGCATAAAGGACTAAAATAACTAGAGAAACATAACGTAAACGCACAAGAAGCCATTTAAGTCGCATGAATATGCTCCTATCAAATTCTCATCCTATAGTGTCGCACAATTATCCAAATCATTTAACCTCGATGCGATAATTAATTTAGGTGATTGACATTTTAATCCACCAAATAAATTAGCATTTTAACCCCTGCCCTATTCAACCAAGATAAAACTTCAAAGGAAATGCCACTTAATACTACGGTCTAGTGGTACTTCTCTTCACTTGTAAGTGAGAGGTTTTCATTTCATTCATGCCGAAAGCGAATTCAAACCAAATTCTTATGGCTAATGAGGATTTGCAACTAATTAACAAAGTACAATGAATTGGATTATGATAAAAACAAAAGATTACTTAGACATGAACGTTAGCAATTGGAACTTAAGAATATTGTGTTCAATGAGATTAGCTGTGACCTATGTTCACCATTTAAGACTATTACAGAGAACCTGTATTAACCCTTTAAGACTATTACAGAGAACCTGTATTCACCATTTAAGACCTCTTATATATTTCAACGTTCTTCTATGTTTCTCATAAGAGTCCTACATGGCAAGTATCACTACTAGGAATAACTTCTTGGGCGACGAAGGGGAAAGCCTTGCGCAAAGGCCAAAACCATTGCTAGAAACATTGGATGGCAAGAGAGCGTCGCGCAAAAACTTGGGAAATATTAGAAACCACATGTGCCACTCGTATATTTGTAAGGAACATATCATTATGGCTATGAATAAAGATGAAACCAAAAGCAAGCTTATCAATGGATAGAGCAAGCTTACCTATCTGGGACCCCTCTACATGGATAGATGAAGCCTCACCAGACGCTTGAGTCTCCTCAGAACTCCAGGGCCGTCGATGAGTCCAATGGGCGCTTAGGACAGGATGTGTCACTGAAGAAGTCAATGACGCAGGACCCGTAGACATCGTTGGTCCCAAAGACGTGACTGGAAAGACATCCGTCATGCCCATATTAGGTGTGGAGGTGGCAGCAACATTACCTCTTGGAAAAGGTGTCTGACTGCCTCTACTACCTGCCCATTGATTTGATATTAAGTTCGACATCTACAAAGATAATCATGAATATGTTTAGATATCATCTTATTATATGCATTTCATTTCACATATATAAGGTGAATGAAAACATGAGATAGGAATAAAATTGAGTATTGCATGGAACATGTTTTTTCATAAGAACAAACAAACAAACAAATTGACCCATCTACAATAATCTTCAAATGCATGCCATTACAAAGTTAAAACCAACATATTATCAAATCAATATTATCATACAACATTTTTATGCATTGAAGAAGATCACTTATAGATGTGATGAAGAACTCAAAAAAAGAGAAAATGTAAGAATCTTGCAATCCTTCTAAAAAAAATCTCATAGTTGGTTACAAGGAATATTCTCACCACTATTTATACTAGATACAAATCTTAATGACTAAGCAATCCTTATAACTACCCAACTCACTAGATTATGAGACATGTAATACGTCAACCAATTACCCATGTCATCATCTAAAACCATCCATATCACTCAATACCTTGGTGCGAATTCGAATAAAAATAAATGGATTATGAAATTAAGTGTTGAACCCTCAACCATGAGCAAATTGCATTTGTGAGGAAGAAGATGCTATTTAGCCCAACAAGTAATAACATTAGAGATTCTAAATTTAAATCTCATGATTGACAATCGTACGATTGAAAAGTTGGATTATATCCCTCATGCATATATAGCCAATATGAAATTTAAAGGTATCAGAGAATCCGAATAACCAACAAAATGCCATTGTCATAGTCATGATGGATCCCTTTCCAAGAATGCCACTCAGCAGTAGGACAATTATTCCCCTTGGCTACAACAATCGCATGCACAAACACAAATGTTGCCCTAAATCATTCAGGTTGGCGGCAAGCACACTCTCATCCTTGTTTTTATCCTCCATCCCAGCATGAACAGAATTGTGAAAAATATGTACAACAGAATTGTGAATAATAAAGGGAGTAGAAACACATATTTATAGGAAGGTTAGGGCCTTTGTGCGAAGAAGGCTCTGTCGCGCAAAGACCCGTACTAAATCCTATTGATTCACTCTGACTCAAAACTGATAGTAACTTGCACAGTGAAGACTTTGTCGTGCAAGTTTTCCTTGGTTTCCCATGTGTTGAATGCTTTACCCTAGAAACTGACCAAACTTTGCGCGACGACGACTTTCTTGGACAAAGCTACCGCGGGAAAACATTCGTCGCGTATTTATTTTCGCGTAAAAAAAAAAATCATCCGCGGTTTTCTTACTGGATTTGAGTAATGAACATCTATTTTTGTCGTGCAAACCGGCCTTGCATGATGAAGATCTTCGTCGCACAACGTTCCAACCTTGCGCGACGAAGTTATGTCCTTCGTTGCGCAAGTTGTCCTTGCGCGACGAAATTTGTTTTGTTGCACAAATTTTTGTCTCACAAGTAGTTTTTCCTACTAGTGTATATGGTCGATGCGGATGCTCTATCAATCCGTTTTTGCTACAATGAAATGAGATCTACACTAAGAAAGCAACCTTATTCAACAATACATAACGTAAGATATTATATATTTGAACATCAAGATTATTACAGTTTGATGATAAATAAAATGGACTATTCCTAATATTGTATAAAAAAAGGGGATCTATATAAAGTTTTTTCAAATTAAAATTGGTAAATTTCAGGTTTGTATTTAACTCCTTTGATAAGATCTTCTCCAAGGAATGCATCAACAAACACCTCAAGTATAACTTGTAGTCTAATTCATTGGTATTAGATAGTATAACTTGTAGTCTAATTCATTGGTATTAGATTTCACCAAGATTTGCAACTAGCAAAGGTACAATTGAATGAAATTATCGACAAAACAAGATAGTATACTTTGAACAGGAACGTTACCAATTGCAACTAACAAAGTACAATGAATCGGATTATCATAAAAACAAAAGATTACTTAGATAAGAACGTTAGCAATTGGAACTTAAGAGTATTGTGCACAATAAACCAAATGACGAGATTGGTGTAACCTATGTAGCAAAAACGAGATAGGGATAGACAATAGGTATTCACCATCTAAGACCTCTTATATATTCATTTCCTGTTTTTCTCACGAGAGTATGAACCCGTTTTTGCTACGATGAAATGAGATCTATGCTAAGAAAGCGACCCTATTCAACAAGACATAACGTAAGATACTCTATCTATGAAGATTTTACGATTTGCAGGACATTGGAATTTTCTCCACAAGATAACGAACATAGTTGTCTCCACTAGCAAGTATCTATCTTGACCAAAAAGTAGTTAGCAAGGACAGAACTTAACATCTATCCCAATATAACTAATCACATTGCTCTACATCGATAATTACAACCCAAGAAAGATTCAAATATTATTGATTTGTCTTAGTGTTAAGCAAAGCTATATAAAGGAAATACCACCGAACCATTACTCTCAAACCAACATAATTAATTAGCAATTCAGAATTCTGCAAAATATTTCAAGTATTTTTTCGATCTCTTCTTTTATCTCAAGGTTGCATCCTCAATTTATAGCATGAACTCCAAGATGCTCAGCCCCAAGAAGCTCATTTAGTATGCTATGAAGTGGGAGGGAGAGCTTTTATGGAGCGGAAAGCCATTGCACACCCGAGAGACGGCGGGAACAATATTGTCAGAAGTACAATGTCTAATATGGTGAGTGAAAGAGGAAGTTTTGTGGTATATACCATTGACGGGAGACATTTTTTGCTGCCGTTATCCAATCTCCCTAACCACATTTTTCATGAATGACATGGTCGCACTTGTTAAGCGAGGTTGTCTGACTGTAGATACGGAGAAAGCCTTACTCAATTCTATAGCCAACAGTAGCTGCTCAATTAAGTATAGTTTACATCAAGGGCAAACAAACCTACAATTACTACTTTACTATTATTGATAAGTCAGCCTTTTTTTTTTTTTTTTTTTGTAAAGCTATATTCTACATAAAGAGTAAAAGGGAATCCGAACGTAGTGATTTGAACCCTGACCTTTTTTTCTTTTAAAAAAACCATATTATCTACACTAAGAGGGAGGGAGTGGTCTTAGCCTCACAATGGGCTAGCAATAATGTGGTTCAAATTCACCTTTGGTGAGAATTGAACCTAAGAGCTCTCACTTACAAGTGAAGAGGAATAACACTAGACCGTAGTACTAAATGGCAACCCCACCTATTTTTGTATAGAGAACTAGTCATGTACTTTTTATGTGATATATAGCTAGGGGAGACACTTCTTTTAAAATGCATGTAGTCTTTCCCATGCATGATTCATTATGTATACTTGATTACAGCTTCTCCGCAGATAAATCAATCTTTTGCAACGGACGAGCATAGGGTTGAAAGAGACAATGAATAATCTAATATATTTTTGTCCTTCGTCCCCTGAAAATAAAATGCTCTTGGTCATTGTTAACATGGGCGCCATATTGACACGTGGAGCTTAGTCATTGTCCACATGGGTACCACGTCATCATTTAATGGAGGGTCTAATAGAAAACTTAATGGATGTATAAAAGTGTCACATAATTACAACATTAGGTACTAGACTTGGACAGGAAAAAAAAACAAAACTTGATGTATTCTGATTTACTTGGAACAACTATTCATTCTCAAGGGGAACAAGTCCTTTCAGATACAAAATCAATCATTCAACAGCTTCTGCAGTAGAGCTATCCAAACGGAGAAGCGATGCCACCATCATCTTGTTTTGGAGTAGTGGGTGAAGTCCAACAACTCCTTATAAATTGAGGATGCTTGTTCTTTAAGACACTGAAACCTATTCAGTAAGGAGTCAAAGGTTTCCTATTTTCTTCGAGTCCTTAAAATCTAAGGATTGGCACGTGCATAAGTACTTATACTCCTAAGGATGCAATATACCAATATGTATTCCTAGATATCCTCTGCGATTCTTCTGGTTTATACGGATTCCATATCTTAAAAGATCTCTATCTCGACTAGTATAAATACACCCTTCTAGGGATCATCTCTTATAACGCAATTAGCGCACACTTATTCTCTAACCTACTACTTGAGTCTTGTAATATTGCTTACTAACCTGATCATTGGAGAGCCTTTGACTGGCACACACCCAGTGTGGATGCAAATTTCTTCCTCCTTGTTCTTGGACAAAATTGTACCTATAAAACAAATAATATAACACCTTAGGTCAAGGCCAAGAGCCGCACACGGACACGATGAACGAGGGGGCTTTGGCCGAAGAACCTCTGATGCCAAAGTTAGAATTTTGAGGGAAAACTGTTTGGAGAATTTTGAGAATTTAGCAAGAGAATTGGAATTGAGTTTTGGAGAAAATAAAGGTTTTTATATAGGGTTGTAGCCGGCCCTTTTGGGGAGGATGGGGACCGGCCACTTGGATGGTTTTTTGGGTGAGATTCATGATTTGTTAGCTAATTAATAAATTCTTTAGGTAATAAATCAATTAATTAGCTAATTAATATAATTAGAAAGGAATGATTTGGGGGTTACCTTGTGGAGAGGATTTGATGAGGATGGACAAAATAAGTTTTGAATAAATACCTATTTTGGGCACTTTTGACTTGATTGAGGGATGATTGTCCATTGCTCGCACGTAGGAGTTCCGGTGTTGCTCAAGGGTAATTTTGTCTTTTTCACCCTAGAATCAACGTGTTGCCTCCATATTTTTCTCGATTATTTTTGGCTCTACAAATGCCCCCACACCTGTTGGGTTGCTCACAGAAAAAGGCAGCTGGTGTAGAGATTTTCTTGCTTTAGGAACTTAAGATTGTTTCCTATTTTT